CTCTCTCTCCAACTGCAAACTACAAAATCTACAAGAATAAGAAGTTCAAAGCCCATATATATCAGTTTATCTATCTGTCTACAAGAATCAGAAGTTCAGAACCCGTATCGGCATATCATTTCAGATTGTTCAAAAAATCAAAACCATATCTTTCAGTTTCCATCGCCCACTGTTCTAAGCTTCAGCCGCTGTCTCTCAACTCTCAAGCTTGCCCCCTTCTCTTTGCAACTGCTAACTTGTATGTATGGGTTATCTTTTAATTTTTGGAAGTGATGGTGGCGACGGCAGCGGCGGAGGTAGAGGGACGGCGGCGGTGGCGGATCAGCGGTTGTGGAACGGTGGAGGCGGCGACGGCCGCAGAGGGGATGGCGGCAGAGAGAGAAAGAGAAAAAAGAAAGAGAAAGTGAAAGAAGAGAGAGGAGAGAGAAAGGAGAAAAAAAAAATTATTTTTATTTTGGGTTTTGGGTTAGGTTCGGGTTGAGTCCGAACCCAACCCGAACATGTCTGAGTTTTGACAAAATCCAACCTGAACATGAGCCTGATTTATGAATTTTAAGCTCAAATTTCAAAATTTCTGAGTTAGGGTTGGGTTGGGCTGGGTTAGTCCGCCCAAGTTGCAGCCCTAACCATTATAAACTCATTTGTGTACATTGAAGTCATTCAACTTTGTGTTTTCTAGTAACCGTAATTTGAAATTCCTAGGTGCATATATGAGTAATTTTGGCAAATATAAAATGATATATGAAATTTTCATTTCTTTCCATTTGACCTAACATTCTCATATGATAATTCTTAATTAATACTTTGAAAGATTAAAGAATTACAATAAAAAAATAGAAACAAATATAAGCGAGCCCTATAACGAGTATACGGTTCACGAACATATACAAACCTATGTTTACCAATATAAACAAGCCTACACGAGTTGAGCCCATCATTGTTTGAGATCGGTTCGTTTACTAAACGAGTATAGAAATCGATCTGAAACTGTAGCTAAAGCTTGACTTGTTTGCTTAACGAATGAGCTCGTGCCAAACTCATTCAGTTTGGTTCGTCGCAGCCTTGTAAGGGACAAAGATTCTCTCATGTGCAGCAAAACAACATCGTTTTGGTACACAATACGGAACCCACACATGTACCAAAACAATATTATTTGGTGCACAACACTTTTCCAAACAGAAGGGAATCCACTTTAAAATATAAAAGTCATGTATTCATCTTAGTTCAGTTGTTAAAAATAAAGTACATAATTTTTTTTTTTTAGATCTATATGAAGAATTACTATTGTCTTGATTTCTTTTATGCGAGCTGTGAAATTGTTGTTAAGTAAAAAATTGATTAAGCAGATTTAAGGTAAATGCCAAGAACAATATGGGTTTAACAGCTTTTGACGTCTTTCAACTTCCAATGGAATTGGACAACAGAGAGATTGGGGAGATACTATGCCGAGCTAAAGCATTGAGAGGTATCTCCATTAACCATGACCCCCTTGAAGAAATAGATGATCAGATCAACAAAAATAAGTCACTGCATGTGCCACAAATTAAACAAGTCATTTGGACTTAATGTGCACAAGAAATCGTCAGATAGAGACATGTCTCAGGCGGTACTAACAGTGGCTGTACTGATTGCAACAGCCAAATTACAAGCTGTGCTCAGCCCTCCTGGTGGATTCTGGCAAGATGACTACTTCCCATGGTGGAGGGAGTGTTTCGTAGAGGACCACATCTTGCAGGGAGGTCAACAATGAAACCATGCCAGTTCTGTGTTTTCTATTTGTTGAACAGCGCAACATTTTATGCGTCCATGAGCATAATCCGACTCCACACAATAGGCCTTCCTCATAGACTACTAGATATATCCCAAATCTTTCTCAGTGCCACCTATTGTTGCCCTTTGTTCCTCATCACTCCGCGATACACGGACTCAATAATCTCCCATTCTGCTAATACTTCTATTTGCTCAGAATTTAATTCAAAACATCGCATTTATAATGCTCACATCTATTCACTTTTCCTTCTAACTAGCTTCTTGATAATGTGTAATTGCACTGAAGTTCAAATCTCTACTTCATCCTGGTTAGGAGTTCAAGTATTCATGGTTCGACTCTTCAGAACTTGACATATCAACATTTGTGTGTGCGCGCATGGTTCGACTCTTCAAAACTTGACATATCAACATTTGTGTGTGCGCGCCTATTTATTTATTTATTTTTTCTCTATGTAGTTTGACTTCTTTTTATATGAGTGTAAAATCACGTCATCATGATGCTAATCATTATAATAACATTCCATAAATATAGTTGGAACGGTTGGACCTCACTAAAAATATTTACCATATATTTACGGACTACAAAATTAATTTGAACTTATAGATCTTATATTCGAAAAAAATATAAATAATTTGTTTGTTGGGCATGATAAATTAAATTTTGACTTTTTAAAGGTGAATCAAAATCTAAATTATGGTGAAATCCACTTCTCAATTACAGCAATATTAACAAAAAAAAAAATGGTGTGCAATCAAATCCTTTATATTATCTGCAACTTTACGTGCCCCAGGCTCCCAACCCTGTATAAATCCTGCCTTCACTGCCCGCCTTTCCAGTGGATACCACATGCCATTTTATTGCAGAAACTTTAAAAACTATTTAAAAGTTATTAAACATTTCAATCAGTTGTAGAAGATAGTGTTGCAAAATAAGTGAAAGATATAGTTGGGCTTGTTTTGGAGATGATTGACTCTGTGTGGCTTTCTTTGTCACTTTTAATTCTTATCATGGCCTCATAGGTTATTTTATATGGACACTTCAAAAGTGATAAAGTATCCTGACATGAGATACATGTATGAAAATATTGGGCACTATTAATTAAACATATGCTTAAAAAAAAAACATATTTAATCATACAATTTTATTATATTATTATTTTTAAATGACTACACCGAACACTTTGTTACAAAAAAACATTATTTTGTTCTAGAAAATAAAATAAAATAAAATAATTATTTAGAAGTGTCCATGTGTCATTCGGTTAAGAAATTTAATAATTTTGACCCATGAATTTGTACCCATATCTGATAAACGTGCCCAAATCCATGTAACATGGCCCATAAATTGTTATGTAATGTACCTTAATTAATTAATTAATTCCTTGAATTTTTTTTTTCTTGGATACAATTTTTTAACTCGTTACAAAAAAGAAAAAGAAAAATAAATTACTCTGACCTCTTTTTAAGGTTTGGATTTATTATTAAAGTTCTTAAAAAATCACCTAGCACTCTGGTTTAGTAATTTAAACCATCCTTAATGTTATATATGTATAAATTTACCAATTTACCCTTCATATACTAAATCATATTAAAAGAAAAAGAAGAAGAAAACATCAATATAACAAAATAGACTAAAAAAACCCCAAAACCTTACTCTAACTATTTTCACCCTTCCACTGTCGAACCCATCACCTACTTTCTATCATAGAAAGCACGGACACAGACGCGGTGCTGTTGAACCCATCGCCTACTTTTTATCATAGAAAATACAATACAAATACGAGATACAGGTACAAAATACGACAAATCTAAAAAAAATAAGACACGAATATGATATAGATACACCAAAAAAATATATATCTTATATTATTATATAAATAATTTTCATTTTTTTTTGTCCATACAATCATGAATAAAATCACTAATTTAGAGCTTAGACCTAAATATTTGTTAATTTTGTTTTCTTAAATTTTATATTATTATTTTTAATTACTTCATAATATATTTTAAATTACATTGAATCCCATCCTTTAAAAAAAAAAAAAAAAAATTATAAAACCACTTCTCATGCCCTGAAAGTGTTCAAAGCGTGTCTGCCATATCACAACACCCTTATGTCTCTCTTACACACAACATTTCTCATCTAAACTGTCATCACTCCACCACTGCCAGATCCACCATTGCCATCTCATCAACCCCCACCCTCACCACCACCTGCCATCTCCTTCTACTCCATCAACGACCTTCTTTTCTACCTCTCTCTCCTCTGTTATTGTCTTTCTAATACCCTTCAAAAACAAAAATTAAAGAAACTGTTCTAAACTCCGCAATAAATTTGATAGTAACAGGTGAATTTTTTTCACAATCCACCACCACCAAATCAACATCCAAAGAAGCCAATCAACTAATCACCATCTTCAGCATTCTATGTACAAAATGTTGATGCATGTATGTTCATAATATATTTTTTTTCTGAACTGTTATGTGTTTGCTTTATACAATACAAAGAGCGTAGGATGTGTATGATACTTTAGTCAAGTGTCTCTAATGTGTTGACCAAGTGTCCAAGATACTTCAACCAAGTGTGTCTTAAATGTGTTGGCAAGTGTCAGAAATTAAATAAATAAATAAATAAATAAATAAAATTTAAATAATGGACAACTATAAAGTGTTAGACTCGTGGTTCAAAGTGTCTATAGAGTATCGGTGTCGGACACGAATTGGTGCTTCTTAGATCCCCAACTCTTCACAAGGAAAATCATTCGAAGCCTCGTTCAATTTGTCGAAATCTACTCATAACCACCTGGCTCTCATATGTCTACAATTAATTAATTTGTAAATAAAACAATTAATGTGTGTGCCTGCCTCCTCCGAAGTCTAACAAATGATCCAACGGTTTCAATCACTCTCATCAGCTCTCCACCCAACCGCACCGCTCTCGGTCTGCCCCTTTAATGAATCCTCCATTTTCTCTCCTCCTTCCCCACCCTCCATCACCATCCGCGCGTCCCTCCATTATTTAAGAATCTTACACTGTCAACTCTTTTAATCTTTTTGAAAAAATGGTTTTTAAGGGGATAAATAATACTAAACAAAAAAAACGATGTAATTAATTCTATAAAAGCGCGTAAGTGTCTCCGTCGATAGCTAAGGCCTTTGTTGACATTTTTTGTCCGAGGACGCTGCACTGAATTTTCTGGCATCATGTAAGAAGGTTTATAGCAAGACTCCTTTAAAAGATCGAGAAGAGAGGTAGGTGGTGACAATGCTAACTTGGCAAACATTTTCAGCACATATAATATAAAACCGTAGCTGTCTTAGAATGGATGCCAGGTTGAGGGAGGCTGCTTATGAAGGAAACATCGAACGCTTGTATGCATTAATTCGAGAGGATCCAAGTATTTTGGAGTGCAATATCGATGATAAATTGTTAGCTGAGACTCCTTTACATGTGGCTGCATCAACTGGTAACCATCACTTCGCCGCAGAAGTCATGAGGTTGAAGCCGTCGTATGCCAGGAAGCTCAACCCGGATGGCCTTAGTCCCATGCACCTTGCTCTTCTAGGTAAGCATGATCGCATGGTGGAGTGGTTCGTCTCGATTGACAGCAGCCTAGTCCACGACAAAGGAAGAGACGGCACAACTCCTTTGCATCATGCGGTTGCTGTGGAAAATGTCAATCTTTTGAGATTGTTCCTATTGGCTCGCCCACGCTCTATTGAAGATTTGATAGCTAGACGAGAAACTGCACTGCATATTGCTCTCAAATTCCACAATCAGCAAATTTTTGAAGTGTTGGTGGAATGGCGAAAAAGGGTTGAGAAGGAAGACATCTTGAATTGGGCTGACGAGGATGGCAACACTCTCTTGCATATGGCAACATCAAAAAATCAAATCCAGGCAAGTTTGTCATCCAAATTAAATATATATATACAAGCAATTCTTTTTTTCCTATTGTACAATGATTTGAGAGCCAATATAATCTTCTCCATGTTTATTTCATGATTAATTAACGCTGTCTCTTGTCTACCTTATAGGCAGTAAAAGTGTTGTTGAGCGAAAAAGTGATTAAAAAGATAAATGTCAATGCCAAGAACAACATGGGCTTAACAGCTTTGGACATCTTTCAAGTACTTCCAAAGGAATTAGACAATAAAGAGATCGGGAATATGCTATGCGGAGCTAAAGCATTAAGAGGAATATCTGTTAACCATGATCCCCTCAAAGAAAAACATGATCATATCACCAAAAACAATCTCAAAAGATTAACATTTTCCAGAGGGATGTTTGATTGATTGGTCAGATTCTTTGCAGAACCAGTAAGATTGGGAACCCTAAGGGCGAGGAACCCTAATAATTGTAGGGGACGATGAGGGCGTGGATTCAGAATCCACGATTTCTATGTGTTCAGGAGTAGTCGAAGTGCTCATGATGCAAGATCGAAAAGATGAAGAACTAACCTGATGAGATGACGGAATGAAGAACTCAAGAAACGCAGTGAGAACAGAAGTAACTCTTATGGAACCTCTCAAAGTAGAGTGGCAATGGGCAATCTTCGAACCTTCTTTTGGCAAAATAGATAACCGTGCAACTTCAATTCCCTTTTTAATAGGAGCCATAATCCAATTAAAGAGGGAATGGAGGGCAAAGTGTGGAGGGAAAAATTTCCCTCCAATGACAATTGTACACATCATCATAGCATATTAGTATCTGTCACAAATTTCAGAAGCCCATCTTGCTCAAAGCCCAGACCAAGCCTGGTGTTAGCCCAAAATCTTAGTCGCTAGCCTAAGATCGCAGCTGTCTAATCTCTAGCATCGCTCAAGCCCGAACCAAGAGATCCAGCTCGCCAGCGAAGTCACATGGACCAGGTTATGTACGGCCCAAATCCATTAAAAGAAGATTAGTCCTGTCAGAAGAAGGATACAGCAAAGAAAGAAACTGCTATATAAAGAAAATTATACAAAGGAAAGAACTCTATTTGTAAAGAATTTTTATATGGAAAGAATTGGAAGACAACTAATGCGAATCCTACCATAATTCAATCACTATTTTGTGTATAAATAGAGACCCAGACCTCCAATAAAAGGATCAAACAATTCTACGCTTCTTTATACATTATTCTTATTTATTTTTATTACTTTTTGAATGAGTTGTTTTATTTTTCTCAATCATTATTAATTGAGCGAAATTTTGCACCTACAAACAGAAACTACATGAAAGAAATTCTTCAAGTTACCCATTTACCTAAGCAATATGTATTTTTCTTAAGCACTCAATTATCTTGGATATGGCCTTTAAATAAATAAACTACGCGTGAAGACCGACTACTGGGTACTTTTTTGAAAGTTTATTTATTTATTTTTCGCTACTTTTTTGAAAGTTGAGGTTGTGGACGTCTGTTAACTTAGACCATTACTTTTTCTGCCTTTTCAAGTAGGTCCTAGTACGAATTTTCTTTGGGTTTGGCGGAATGGGACCTGATATTATCATCTTATTAGTCTTAATTCCTTGACATATACTATAAACTAAACATATTATATTTTCATCTCATAATTCTTAATTTGTTTATCTACTTGGGGACTCTTGGCCTTGACTTGGAGTCGAGATTTTAAAAAGGCTTATTTACTCGGATTGTCCCTACCATGTCATAATTTTACTGTTCACGGCTGACAATCTGGACTTGTTGAACCTCCTTTGTCCGAATTGTCCTATTCATTCATCAATTGGTAGGGATGGGGGACCATTTCAGTGTAAGAAAATTATTGAATTGACGTAAAGTTTCATGATCCTCTTTCTAATTTAGCTAGGGCCCACTCTTAAGGTACTACACTACTTTTCACATGTTTGGTCGTCCATTGTCACCATAAAAGTTGAAAAGTACTAATCAAGGGTACACACTTATTGTTCTGTGGTGATGTGTCGAGTGCAATTATATTTATACTCCCTCTATTTTAAAACAAGATGTCTTGTCTTCTTTCTTCTTCTTCTTCTTCTTCTTCTTCGTTTTTTTTTTTTTTAGATAAATATCATATTTCACAATTCACAATACTATTTTTTTTTTTAATATTTCTAATTTATCCTTAGTTTAAATTTCTAAAAATAATTAAACTACATGTAAACCCATTATAAAAAGCTAGCAACATAACATTCATGAATTATAAAATAAACAAAGTATGAAGTAACAAACAATTTCCAGTCGAGTGACTCTAACATTTAAGAAGTCTATGTTAATGAAATGGTCAAACCAGTCAATCCACTAATTGAAGACAAAATTTTAAAGGGTAAATATGAAATTTTATTTATTATCACAATAATAAAATATATTAAGAATTAATCCTCTAAAAAGTGACAACTTTTGTGGAACAGAGGAGTATTTTTTTTAGCGTAGAGTACAATCATTGCTACAGTACTGGATACAACAAACTAGTCAAAAGAGAAGAAGAATAAATAATGTTAAAAACATTTTAGATAATATGTGAATATCGTATTATTGTGTTAAGTAATATATATTCATAGCATATTAAAAGTTACTCCGTATTAAACTTTAATTTTACACACTCTCATTCTTTTATTTTGAGTTATTAATCTCAATTTACCTATTGAAATACAAAGAATGCCATAAGTTTTGCTAATTACCTATTTTCATTATCTTTGAAGATGTTTCCTCTTTGTAATTAACTATTAATCATGGTTTGGTTAATTAGTTGCTTTAAATTTTTTATTAATGTTGCTCTTACATTATGTATTATTTACATATACACCATTTTTAATGCAATTAATCTGAGGGACTTTAAGGATTTTATCATTCATGTCAAAGAATGTTTTTCATTATTTATTTATTTATTATTTATTTCAAAAAACTCACACACTCATTTGTCATTGAGAAGACTCGAACCCTCACCTCCAACGTTAAAATAAATACCAGAAGACTAACCCTTCCACAATCTTAAATAAATTGGTCACCATTTTTTTTTCCCTCATTTCACTTCATTTTTTTTTTTTCCCCTTTTTTATTGAATTATGAATTTTTATCAGAAGAATTCCAGTAGGACCAGTACTTCTAATGAGTGGTGTAATGAAAAGTACTGGAATCACCTCCCTTGCACATTTTAGTTGTTTTTACAAATATGAACAGTAAAATTTTGTTCCATTAATTCTTTTCATTTGAAGTGAGATCTTATATTACCATTTAAGTTCCGTATTTATTAATGTAACTTAATTTATATGTAAAAAGTAATATAATTTAATAAAAGTGTGGTAAGTAGCTCCATGGTAACTTGGATTTTGGTTGTCGATTCATCCCAAGGACCTCGACAACTTTTACTCAAAAAGTACGGTGAATTGGGATTGCTATGGATCCATGGCTTTTTTTCCAATTTCATTTTTAGAAGGGTAATGTTTCTAGGACTCTCTCTCTTTCCTGAGAAGAGCCATAAATTCTTCTTATTTAATTATTAAATTAAAAAATATATTTTACAATGAATAAACTATTTCAAAAGGATAAGAAAAAATAAAATATACTGATATAATTATAAAGTCCACGGATATTAGTTAACACCTAGATTATTTGTTGGTAACACAGACTTACAATTTGGCCAAGAAATTGAAAAAGAGTAGAAGAAAATGTAAAGTTACACCATTAAAATATTAAAATGGTTTCAATTTAAACGGGCTACATATAAAATATTACTTGGGTAGAGTGAACAAGAAAATTGTGACATTGTGATTTGGATGACTGGGAGTGCTAATCAACATTTTGAATTTGAAATTAAAAAAATATATATAGTTTAAATTTAAATTTAAATTATAATAAGTAAATATTTATTTCAATTTTTTTTAGAAGGTTAAAAATGAAAAATATATTTGTTGGTAGTTAACTTTTATCTCTCATCTCTTAATTCACCCAATTTTGGGTGGGTAGAAAAACATAAAACAATCATCCCTTGTTTCCTTCACTCTTCCCTTTCTTCCAACCAAACATGAAAAATTTTCAATCCCGCTCTCTCATCCATCCATTCTCAATCATTCCCTCCAACCAATCATACAATTAGGTTACGATAGCATAGAATAAAAAAGGTGGAAGGTTTAAAATTAAGTGTGAGATTAGTTAGAACATTGTGTGACCTAATCTCTAGAGTTTTGCGAGATACATTTATGTAGAATTTGTTAGATAATTCAATTCAGTAAAGTTTAATTTATTTTGCATTATATATATAAATTTATTAATCAATACAATTTTTTTATAAAAAATTAATTAAAATTTTTCAGAAAGACACTGGTCTTGTTACAAATTATACAATCTCAGACAGTTTAAGTAAGATGAAGTTAAAGTATTTATATGTACTAGTGGGCTATCTCAAAATGATATGAGTTATTTGGAATAAAATCCAAGAACAAACTGTAGGGACTTGAGTTTAAAGCGAACTATCATATAGAATAGACTATTACAATTAAATCGGTTTTTCAAGATCTTGAAATATGAAAACCCTTGGCCAGTATCATATATTCATATAGGCGGTGGAATGTGTGATTATACCGTGTCCAATTTAAGCTTTATGAGAGATAAGAATATAAGAAAATAATTTTTTTAAAAAATATAAATTTTGAAAAGAAAACAATATATATATATATATATATATATATATATACACACACACTCCAACCTGCCCTAGCTTAAGAAGAGTTGTACCTCATTAATAGAAGTAAAAATTCCCTAATTTTTTTCTCAAACGTAAACGCGGCACCAACATTAACATTTTATTTGAATACAGAACTGAAGTTACGGGAACCTAGACAACAAGGGTAAACATAAAATCAATCAAAAGCGGAACGAAGGGGATAATGTATGCTACAACTTTCAAGTCCAAGTGTTCCAGTCTGTTGAAAACAGTATCTGAAAATGAAAGCACAAAAAACAACAATTGAGTAACCAAACTGAGATTTTGAGGAAGCGAGGTGAGGGATAAGTTGGGGCCGGCAAATCGGCACACACACACACAGTAGAGGCTACGGAAGCTTTCCAATCCAATGGCAATGTCCAAAGCTGTATTGTGCTCATTGTTCTTGGCATTTATCTCCATCTTTCAATTAAATTCTTCGCTTAACAACAATTCCACAGCCTGCACGGTGTATCAGATATATCAAGGTATCTATTAATTAATTAATTAATAAGCAATCAATTCTAATTCTGATAATAATAATAATAATGATATATGTTGTTATACAAGAGATCGACTTGCCTCGGTTTGATTGTTGGATGTTGCCATATGCAAGACCGTGTTGCCATCTATGTCGGCCTCGTTTAAGATGTATTCCTTGTTCGTACACTTTAGCCATCCCACCAACCTCTTAAAAATCATCGGATTGTAGTGTTGTAGAGCAATATGTAGTGCGGTTTCTCGTCTAATTGTTTTATCTTCAATGGAGTCTGGGCAAGACAGTTGAAACGATCTCAAAAGATTTATATTTTGCTGTGCAATCACATAATGCAAAGCCGTCCTGCCCTCTCCCGCATCGTGTCGGACCGTGTTTCTATCATGCTCCACCAACCTTTCCACCACCTCATCACGCCCATTGCGCAGAGCAACGTGGATGGGACTTAAGCCGGATGTGTTCAACTTCGAGGCATATGAGGGCTTCAACCTCAAGACTTCTGCGGCAAAGTGTGAGTTACCCATTGATGCAGCTACATGTAAAGGGGTATCTACAAGCAATCTGTCATCAATATAGCGGTCCAAAACAATTGAATTCCGACGATAGAATTCAAAGAAATTGGGAAGGTTTCCCGTACGAGAAATCTCCATCAATCTCCAATATTCCGGATCCATTCTAAGACAACTCCACCTATATACGTATATATGTTTATTTATATATAGGCAGTAGATCGAAGAAGATTGCTTTATATTATATATATGCACGCATGAATTCTCTTGTTAAACCTCTCAGCAGCTATAAATGGAGCTCCTGCCCGAGGCAACATGGAAAGAGATCGAGTGCAACCTCTAAATAAGAAGGAAAGACCGGGGGTGCCGCCTCGTACTGCTTTCGGTCGGGCAGAGGCCGCTTGGTCGGAGCTTCCTATATCTACTATCTGAGTTTCAACTGCAGCTGCTCTGGAAACTTCCGTGGGTAAACGGTAGTTACTAAAAAGAAGGGTTAATTTTAAAAAAATTCCACTAATTTCAATTTTGATCATAAATTCTTAATTTATTTCAAAAAATTTCCCTACACTTATAAAAGTAATCACATTCTCTCAATATTCCACTCCAACCCATTAATGGAGCTGTGAAATATTGAATTTGACTATGCCATTTAATATTAAATTAGAAAATATATAATAATAATTTATGAAATTACAGTATTACCCGGTCTTCTTCTTCCTCTTCAACCCCTCCCTTTGCTGCTCATCTTCTGTATGATTAGAGAGCCAGCACGAAGGGCAATTTCACGATGGCCTCTACTTTGAACAACGAATTAACCAAAATCCAAAAACAAGGAAGAGGCCTAAGGCAACCACAACACTTGAATTGAACTTGAAGACGGAGATCGTGACGACGTGGGAGGTTAGGAACATTAGCGACGCTTGAGCTCTTTTCATGCTTCCATTGTTTCTGAGTCTCCGGCTGAGGGGGTTGGAGAGATGAAGCGGCAAGGTAAGAGGTGGAAGACGAAGCGGCAATGTCACGATTCCCAGTTGCAAAAACCGTGCACCAATCGCACCTAAACATAACCTATCTCCATAACTTAACCAACAACCTCTCCACCAAAATTATGACATTGACACGGCCTCATCATAATAGTTTGTGCTCGCACTCCGTTGCTACCGATCCGTTTTTCATTGTCGGTTCAATTCGCGCGCCAATAAGTTTCGTGTCTTGGTCGTTCAATCCTGCTTTGCCTATTCATTCCACGGCTGCAGTTCAGACCTCCATCGTGGCGTTCGTCGCTGCAACTCTGACGACGCAACAACGACAATTTAGGTGGTGAGGGTGCAAATCGTTGCCTAAATCTTTACAATTACACATCGATTTGATCAGTTTCACCAACAACTTTAATTTCTGAACATAATCAAGACCAGGTTCGACGATCTTGAAATTTTCGGAATCATAGTCGTTGATGGTGGGATTGAGAATGAGCTTGAAGTCGGCAAGGGAGAATTAAGAGGCACTGCCATCGTGGAGGATGCCGGGGAAAGATGAGGTATGGGTTTTGATTTATATTCTTGATGATCTTTTTTAGGGTTGGGATTTGGAGCTGATTGAAGGTACTTCTGGTGAAATTTTTATGTGCCCTAAAAAGAAATAGGGATAATTTCATTTACCTCCCCTGAGGTTAGGTGTAATTACAAGCGATATCCCTTACGTTTCAAAAATTATAGAAACTTCCCCTCAATGTGACCTGAGTTAAATTCCGATGGCATTCTTGTCAAATGACTAAGATAACCTTATTGTATAAAATAAAAAATTATCAAAATGCAAAATGATAAAAGCTACCCCCAATTACAAAATTAAACAACCAAACTTCAGCACCGGCATCCTTGCTCACCACCGGTCAGTCTCGCTGTTGAGATTGTGCATCGCCGCCGCCATTTCAGTTCACTTCGTCGCCAGATCAGAGCGCCGCTTCACCGCTTAGCTCACTAGTTCATCGTTGGTATCTTGTGTCGCTAGGCTCGATTTCTCTTTCTACAGCCCCTGTGATCACCGACAGCAGATCCTTCATTCATCGTCATCTACAAGAGTCTGTGAACGCTGTTTCGAGCTGCTTGCACACCAATCAGACCTTAAGCCGATAAGCACCGATAAGAGCATCACCATCGTTCAATTCAGACCCAGTCCTTATTGTCACCATCATCGGAATAACCACTGTGCTTATCGCAGCCAGAATAGCGACTCTTCCAGTAGCTGTTTGTCGCCACACTCTGTCGCCACCGCAGTACTCCCGTTCTTTCTCGCCGTCGACTGAGCACATCCTTGCTCGTCTGACGTCGCCGGAATAGCGACTTTCGTTGTTCGTTACCACACTGCCGCCACCGCGTCATCGCCGTTCTTCTTGTTCGCCGTTGATTGAGCACATCCTTGCTCGTCCTTAGTGGTTATTCATAGTTTGTTGCCGCCCGACGTTCTGTCTGTCCTTACTTGCCGTCCCGACCAATCCCTTGTGTACCTCTGTTTGGGACATCATAACATATATCTATACACACACAGACACACACATCCTAAAAACCTCTTTGATGTCCTGCTCCGTCCATTCCTTGATTCGGATAGCAGTCAAAATATGAAAAATTGGGGTTTTAGAAGAGTTTTTTTTTTTTTTTTTTTTTTTTGGTAGATAGGTTATTTTAATACAAAAGTAAGGGCAAATGTGGTATTACAGGGTTAAAAATAGCTAATATCATAAAAAATCATCATTGACCGGCGTTGACTTTCACCAGAGGGGCTAAGTGTTAAGACGGAGCAAACCTTGAGGGAGGACAGTGTAATATTTGAAACATAAGGGGTACCGCCTGTAATTACGCCTAATCTTAGGGGAGGTAAATGAAATTATCCCAAAGAAATATGCCTTGATTTGTTGATGTTTGGATGGTGGTTTTGGTTTTGGTTTAGAGAGGGATAAGGGTAAAAGTTTCAGAGGGAGGGATTGAAGATGAAGAAGAAGATGGGGTATTTCTGTAATATCACAAATAATTATTATACTTTTAATTTAATATAAAATAGTAAGGTTAAATTCAACATTTCACAGCCTGATTAATAGGTCAGGCTCGAATATTTGGGCAATGTGATTACTTTTTAAAGTGTATGGAGTTTTCTAAAACAAGTTGGGGGTTTATGATCAAAAATTGAAAGTAATAGTTTTTTTATTTATTTTTTATTTTTTATTTTTAAGTTAACTCCTAAAAAAAATACAATTATTTAGTTATTCAATTAAATAAGTTTGATAATATAATTTGGAAACCATTTATAAGTTCTCTAATTAATGAGAAAAATACTTAAATTCAACCCCCCCCCCCCCCCCCCCCCCCACACACACACACACACACACACACACACACACACGTAATAATCTTAATTAACATTTAAAAGTCACGTCTTCAAATTTTCACTACTTAATATTTAATTTTACCAAGTAACATTATTTTATTTTTGGATATTTGCGCTAAATAGTATGTTGTTTTTATTTCTAGTAAGGTGTTATTTGATAATATTAAAAATTAAATACTAAAAAAATTAAGAATTGTATTTTAAGTGGTAATTAAAAATAAATTTTTTTTAATGGTATCTTTTTGAGTTTTAATTGTTTTTGCAAATATAAACAATGAAATTTGTTCCCTTCTTTTTTCATTTGACATGATATCCTATATTAGCATCTAATTTTTAACTCAATGTGTGAATTGGTTCCGCGGGAACAACTACTATTATGCTGTGCATTCCATCCATGACGACCTTGACTGCTTTTTCTCGAAATGTAAAATTAGTTGGGATGGGCACTGATTATCCGGGAAGTTTCTGGGTTCATGAGGGAATCTGCACTTATTTTATGAACCGTGTGGGCCGGTGGCACTGGGTCGGCACTTAATCCTTTTCAAGACAATTTCACCAAAAGTATCTAATTTTTAACTCCATGTGTGAATTGACAATTATGCTACTCAGGCAAATTAATTGGGATGGCAGGACTTTCTGACAACGAGTACCCGGGAAGTTTCCGGGTTTATAATTAAGGGGGACCTGCACTGATTTTTCCCCGAATTTTTTCCTGAACGGACCGTGGGACATGGGTTAGCCCATAATCCAAGTTTGTCAAACTCAATCTTTTCCACGACACAACCAAGTTGAGCGAAAAGTCAAATTTCACTGCTGCGGGTCCAAGACGTTTTAAGCCCAAAGTAAAAAATAAAAACGTTGGCTAAACATCCCTTACCGAAGAGATACTGATGTTGCATTGCAAGTGCTGGGGGTCCCGGATAGCTGTCACAATGGTCTCAGAATTGGAAAATTTCATATACTTTCATATATGATTCCACTACATGACCTCTTTTAAAAAGTTAAAATAAATTATAGAAGTGGGAGCAACTATTTTGGCTTTGCATGACGACCTCGACTAAGTTGATGGCCGGCCTTTTTGACAAAGTTTAACCAGGGAAGTTTCCGGGTTTATAATGGGAATCTGCATGTTGCTTTTCTTGGAGTCCCACTTTTAAAATAAGTTTTTCATTCGAGGACGAAGTCCTACTTTTCATAAAAAAAAATACTAATAATAATAAATTTCAACAAAATTTTATTACCAACACACTTCCTCTTTTACCCTTTCCAACAATTATTCACCATGTACTAATAATGAAAAAATAGTAGGCCACCCATTTGTTTTATTCCTTGCTCTGCTCTCTATACTGTGATTCTAACTGACAATAATACTGTGAAGCAATGGTCTCAGAATTGGAAAATTTCATATACTTTCATATATGATTCCACTACATGACCTCTTTTAAAAAGTTAAAATAAATTATAGAAGTGGGAGCAACTATTTTGGCTTTGCATGACGACCTTGACTAAGTTGATGGCCGGCCTTTTTGACAAAGTTTAACCAGGGAAGTTTCCGGGTTTATAATGGGAATCTGCATGTTGCTTTTCTTGGAGTCCCACTTTTAAAATAAGTTTTTCATTCGAGGACGAAGTCCTACTTTTCATAAAAAAAAATACTAATAATAATAAATTTCAACAAAATTTTATTACCAACACACTTCCTCTTTTACCCTTTCCAACAATTATTCACCATGTACTAATAATGAAAAAATAGTAGGCCACCCATTTGTTTTATTCCTTGCTCTGCTCTCTATACTGTGATTCTAACTGACAATAATACTGTGAAGCAATGGTCTCAGAATTGGAAAATTTCATATACTTTCATATATGATTCCACTACATGACCTCTTTTAAAAAGTTAAAATAAATTATAGAGGTGGGAGCAACTATTTTGGCTTTGCATGACGACCTTGACTAAGTTGATGGCCGGCCTTTTTGACAAAGTTTAACCAGGGAAGTTTCCGGGTTTATAATGGGAATCTGCATGTTGCTTTTCTTGGAGTCCCACTTTTAAAATAAGTTTTTCATTCGAGGACGAAGTCCTACTTTTCATAAAAAAAAATACTAATAATAATAAATTTCAACAAAATTTTATTACCAACACACTTCCTCTTTTACCCTTTCCAACAATTATTCACCATGTACTAATAATGAAAAAATAGTAGGCCACCCATTTGTTTTATTCCTTGCTCTGCTCTCTATACTGTGATTCTAACTGACAATAATACTGTGAAGCAATGGTCTCAGAATTGGAAAATTGCATATACTTTCATATATGATTCCACTACATGACCTCTTTTAAAAAGTTAAAATAAATTATAGAAGTGGGAGCAACTATTTTGGCTTTGCATGACGACCTTGACTAAGTTGATGGCCGGCCTTTTTGACAAAGTTTAACCAGGAAAGTTTCCGGGTTTATAATGGGAATCTGCATGTTGCTTTTCTTGGAGTCCCACTTTTAAAATAAGTTTTTCATTCGAGGACGAAGTCCTACTTTTCATAAAAAAAAATACTAATAATAATAAATTTCAACAAAATTTTATTACCAACACACTTCCTCTTTTACCCTTTCCAACAATTATTCACCATGTACTAATAATGAAAAAATAGTAGGCCACCCATTTGTTTTATTCCTTGCTCTGCTCTCTATACTGTGATTCTAACTGACAATAATACTGTGAAGCAATAAAACCCCATCTAAACTATACCTCTTTTGGAGAACACGGAGGAAAGAAACTCATGCCAAACAACAATCTGACATATGTCGACAAAACTGTGACCGAATCATCAATGAGACAAACAAAAATGGCCTGTCTTTTTCCTATATCTAATTTTTGTATCTCTACAACTTTGTATAGCGGAAAGGCACGATAAAAATAAATAAATAAGTAAAGGGCAATATTAAAAAAAAAAAAAAAATACTTACTGAACTTAATTAAAAATAATAGTAAATTATACTGACCACCTCTTTAAACAAACCTTACACAAATAGACAACGGTGGTGCATGTGGGTTTCAAAATAAAATTATAAAAGAATAACTGTGTGTGTGTATATATATATATATATATATATAGAGAGAGAGAGAGAGAGAGAGAGAGAGGCGATGGAGGTGGGTGACGGTGAAGTGGTGGGGGCATTTGGGTTTAAAATAAAAAAGAATAAAGATATATACGTGTATGCATGAGTGTGTAGATATTTATATATATATATATATATATATATATAATAAAATAAAAAGAACATAATGAGATTAGCCATTTCATGAAATTTCCTTGCCAGTTATGCGGGAGAGAAAATAGAAGGGGGTCGTTGAGCATAAGTATTAAATTTTAGGAGAAGTTAAAGTAGTAGATTTTGTAAATATTTTATTTGTGTAAAATTTGTCCAAATCAGCGTAATTTACCTTTCAAATATAGGACTTCTTCTTTGTCTTTCGAGGAAGCTTCTAGGGATCTTCGGATGGAAGCTGCACCGCCATTACCTTGATTGATTGTACAAGTAAAAGAAAACCCCAATTGATTCGTTTTGAAGAGAAGGGAGGAGAAAATGCTCAATTGACATACAGATTTGTCATCCTTTCCATTTAAAAGCTATCTTCTTCATCCACTCCGAACTGCCCGTCTATATATATATATATATATAGCTATCTTATATAATGGATGAATGGTTGAAGAAGGCTGCTCAGGAGGGAAGCATCAAAAGTCTGTATGCATTGCTTCGAGAGGATCCAAGTATTTTCGAGCACAATATCGATGATAAATTGTTTGCTGATACTCCTTTACATGTGGCTGCATCAACAGGTGACCTTCGGTTTGCCGCAGAAGTGATGAGGTTGAAGCCATCATATGCCAGGGCGTTCAACCGAGACGGGCTTAGCCCCATCCACGTTGCTCTGCTGAATGGGCATGATGGCATCGTGGATTGGTTCGTCACCGTTGATAGCACCTTGGTCCGTCAAAGACGAGGGGATGATGACATGACGTGTTTGCATTATGCGATTGCTCAAGGAAATGAAAATCTTTTGAGATTGTTTCTGTTGGATTGCCCAAGCTCCATTCAAGATTCCACAGCTAAACAAGAAACTGTACTTCATGTTGCTTTAAAACACAACCACCTTAGGATTTTTGAGGCGTTGGTGGGATATTTACAGAAGATCCAATACGAAGACATCTTAAACAGGCCCGATGAGAATGGAGACACCGTCTTGCATATGGCGGCGCGCAACAATCAAACCGAGGCTAGAATTCTCTTTTGTTTTGATCATGTACACAACAAAATAATGATTTATGGGCCAACACCACATCGATCATCTTCAACTTGTTGCTCTCTTTCAGAAATTTTTTTTTTTTTTTTGAGGCTATGTTTCGGTAGCATGAATGGAATTGGACCATAGCCTTAATTGTAAGGTTTAATTGTTGCTAATAATTGATCCACTTTTTGTCTGTGCAGGCTGTGAAATTGTTGTTGAGCAAAAAATTGTTGAGCAACAATTATTATATGTTTGTTTCCTTTTAATGAATGAGTAACAACAACTAGACTTATTGTTAAGCTTTCCATGTATAACTATTGTAAGCCATCAATCCTTGTTTCATCATAATAACAATTATATATGCTGTATGTATAACAATCCATCTCTTCCTCTCTCTCCTCTCTCTCTCTATTGATCGTGTAGTGTGTGCGCCTTTATTGTCATCATCATCCTTAAATATTTCATAGTTAAGGAAGAGTTAACAACCTTAATTATTAAATATTTGCTTACAAGTTAGAATAACCAACCAGTTGGAGGTGACAAACTACTTTCATGACAACATTGAATAAGAGAGATTCATTCTATTCAAGAGAAGCTTAATTATAATTTATTATGACTGATCATGAGTCTAATACAGATCAATTATCGCGAGTAATATATATAACTTCCACCTTCAAAGGGGAGGTGAGGGTTTATGCCTCAAGTGTATGCCATACACCAATGCAGACCAATTTTCATGCCACATTCTTCCATATAAACAGTCGAACTATTGGATTGCTTCAACTGGTAAAGCATGAAATTTTGGTTCTTTCTCAACCAACATTCCATTTGTTTTAAACAAGAAACAAAATGCAAAAGATCGAAAGCATAAAGGCCTTCTGTGTGTGAAAATACATGGGATAACCAAGACCCTGCTCTGTGATCCATAATTACAAGTTAGACAGCTAAGGAATTTTAAATGGGTAAGCTCCCTTTGTGTTATGTTAAAATGCAAATCTCATGTTGGGAATACAGCCATAAGGGGATCTTTGTTGCTTAAATGTACTCCAGGAGTGCTATGGCTCCACAAACATAAACCTTGAGTGACCTAACAACTCCCAATTGTGCGATTTCAATACAACCATCCAGAATGTGGATTATCTCTGCAGTATACCCTCCTTTTCACCGCTAAACACCAGGACCGGCAAGCATCCAGAATGTGAATTAGCTCCACGGGTATACCCTCCTTTTCAAGGCCAAGAACCAGGCCCTGCAAAAATGAAGCAAGCAAAACTTGTGATAAAATTTAAAAGATTCGAATTTATTTTGTATGGTTAATTGGAGATAATTTCATTAATATACACCAGAAACTCCATAAAAGCCACCAAAAACAAAAAAAGACCACTAATTGAACATAAATATAGCAATTATGGCTAACCGTCTTTTTAGAAATGCTATCTGATCAAGAGGTATGCTGTTTGCCGTTTGCTCTAAACCCAAGATGGAGAAACCCTCTCGCTTCTTTTTCTCCAAGAAAATTTTCACAGAACTTACTGGGACTTCTATAATGGGAACCCACTTCTCTGCTGTCACACTGAAAACAGCAACGCTTGTTGATAAAATACTAAGCATTATAGCAAAATAAAGTTATTTCAAACATAAAAAGAACAAAAAATTTTTAATTTTTTTGGGTTAAATGGTAAGCTTTATAAAGAAAAAGAAGAATGTACGAAGCAAGAGCCCTGGAGCAAACAAGCAAACCAGTTCACAAGGCAAAACAAACACACAATTGGCCAAGGCCAAGCTCTACAAATACAGGAGCATGCTCAGAAAAACTATGAATACCCTCAATCCTATCTTTCAACTCCAGTACTGAAGCAAATGAGGTTGCACACCAAGTGTGATTTCCTGCAAAGACACATCCCTGCATAAAAAGCTGCAGCAAATCCTCCTCCTTACCCAAAAGTCTGAGCTCAGCACCTCGTTTCAGCTTCAATGGTGAAAGTTTAGCTCGGACACAACACTTGATAAGGCAAATGATGTGTTGTGGTGTTGCAGCTCTATTCCTAAATGCCCTGGCATTCCCTTCAAGCCAAATGAAGTAGACTGCAGCATTGAAAAGCAACTTGTGAATATTGAACTGTCTTGGTCTCCATGTACTAGAGCACCAAGAAATTAACTCTCCCAACTTCTTGGTTCCACATAGAATCCTGCAACATGTTGAATGAACCCCCAAATATGTGCACTAAAACTGCAATTGAAGAAGAGATGGTCCAATGACTCTGCATCAGAGAGGCAAAGATAACAGGCATTGGTGTAGTGCTTCTTCCTCATTGGCTTAGAATCCAAAGTAAAAAGAACAGAATTCATGAAGGAGAAATCCTTTTAACACATTGTTATGGACTTATTGTAACAAAAATCAGCCTTATTCCTTCCATTCAATTGAAGGAGAAATCCTTTTAGTAACCATGAAAGAGTGTTCCAAACCTCAAAAGCCAGGATTACAAACATGCTGTCAGCCAACCATGACCCAGCAATTCTTCTAATATCATATTCAGATTTCATGCAAGCAAACATGACTCCGACGTAAAACACAATCGCTATGCAACAAAGTGCCCATGGAAGTAGTAAACATGTAAAGTCATAGAACAAATGGCAGAGAGCTTTATCAAAACCTAATGATCGAGTTGAAACTGCTTGTCATGTAGTATATTTGCCATCCGCAATGGCTAAACCAGCTGCTTTAAAAACCTGCTCCCTTAGGTTTGATTTTGGAACTTCCATTGGTGCTTCCTTTCTTTGACTTTAAATTTGAATATGTATCATTAACAAAAATAATATAAATAAGACCAAAGAAGACCTAAAACTTAAGAGCTGGAGATGTTTAAAATAGACTTGGAATATTATGATATTATTAGCAAAACATGATTTGTGAGGACAATTTTTTAACGATAAAAAGTTTGGATGGAGAAGCATGACAATGCAAGTTTCACTGGGAGAGCAGTTACTAGTTTCTAGTCTTTCCTCTGAACACCCTGTATAAAGCAGGACCAGTACTAAGTAATACTCTACTTCTTTTACATTTGGAAGTCTTAAAACAATGGATTTTTCTTTTCTTTTTTTTCTGTCATCTTTTCTAACGAGCAAGGATTAAATTGGTGGTGATGAGGATGGCATTGAAATACTATTTCTGGCAAGGCTAATTTTCTTTCTGATGCTTCATGACTTGCTTCGACATGTACTGTTTGGCTAATCATTTTCAGAGGTTAGGAGGAGGAAATGGTTGGACAATAACCAAGGGTCATACAACAACAATGACCCTGTAGTTTTTGATGACTCAAGTATTTCTTGGTGGCCTGGCGTGGATGAAGAAGTTCCATCTTCCTGAAGCTGAACTAAATGGTTTTCCATTTACTGAAAAAAATAAAAAAGACTAAAAATACACACAAAAAGAATAACAAAAAAGGGCAAAAAAAAAAAAAAAAATAGTACCATTTTTGTTTTTAAAACAGAAGGTTGTATTACTTTGTTTTTTCTCAACGGCCATAAATTATTTGTTTCATTTCGTATATTTTTTTTTAACAGTTATATTATGTTTGTCTTTTTCTTAACGGCTATATTCTCAATGGCTATATTATGTTTATCTTATTCTAATGGCTATATTATATTTGTCTTTTTTCTAACGGTTATATTTCCAACGGCTATATTCTGTTTGTTTTTCCTTTAACAACTATATTCTCAATGACTATATAAACCACTCATTCTCTCATTTTTTTCAATTATAAAGTCCACTTCTTTACATTTTCAAATTCATTTTCTCTTCTTTGAGTCTTTATCTTTATTATAGAAAAAAATGGCTACATCATCACAATCTATTCCAGTGTCCGGGTCAATTTCTCCATTGAGTTCTTTTTCATCTTTTGCCGGGGAAGATTTTTTTGAAGAACGTCAAAAAAGGATGAATGCGATGATGCAACTGTTATCACCTGAGAAGATAAAGGCATTCTTTCAATGTCGTAAGAGAAAATATATTAAACGTGATTGAGAGAAGTTAGCCAGCGGCTATTCCAAGATTATTTTGTTGTAATTCCCATTTTTTACCTAAGATGTTTTGTAGATGATTTCGGATGCGACGAGAGTCTGTTTGTTTGCATTTTAAACAGTGTTATAGCAAATAACGAATGGTTCATCCAGAAGACTAATACCCTTGGTCCTATTGGTGTTTTACTCCTACAAAAAAGATGACAGCTACAATACGTATACTCGCATATGGAATTTCGGCGGATCTTTGTAACGAGTACATAAAAAATTTAGAAACCACTGCGGTTGATAGCTTGAAGCGCTTTTGTGATGCTGTAATTACAGTGTATGCAGGACAGTACCAACGCACACCGAATGAAGAGGCCATTGCACGTCTGGCTCGAGAAGGGGAGGAAAAAGGCTTCCCAGATTGCATTATACAGTTGCTATGGAAAATGGTCATCTCTTGAAAGTGTTTCTATTGGCTTCCCCTAATTTTATTGAGGATTTAACAACCAGACAAGAAACTACAATTCATATTGCTCTAAAATTCCACAAGCTTAGAATTTTTGAAGTGTTGGTCAGATGGGTAAAAGGTGTCAATAAGGAAGACATCTTAAATTGGCCAGACAAGGATGGCAACACCGTCTTGCATATGGCCACATCCAAAAATCAAACTCAGGCTAGTCTCTCATCCAATATAAATAAATTAATAAAACCCAAACCTTTTTGTTTTGTTTTCATATATATTGACAGCATCTGTTGTTAATGAACCAACATTATCATCTTAATTCTCATTAAGAATGGTGGCACTTTAGAAATCAATCTTAATTTCTAGTTATATATGAATTGAAGGTTTAATATTAACTATCTAATTAATGCCTTTATTACTCTTGTGCAGGCTGTGAAATTGTTGTTAAGCAAAAATTTGATTATGAAGATGAAGGTAAATGCCAAAAACAACATGGGCATAACAGCTTTGGATATCTTTCAACTTTCAATTGAATTGGACAATAGAGAGATTGAGGAAATGTTATTCGGAGCTAAAACATTGAGAGGTATATCTATTAACCATGATCCACTTGAAGAAATAGATGAGATCAACAAAGAGATGTCAGTGCAGGAAATAAAAGAAAAGTACCTTAGTGGTGACATGTCTCAGGCAATTTTGACGGTGGTTGTACTGATTACAACAACCACGTTTTTGTAAGATATATTTTTATAAATTGGTATATTTCGATCACAAAACAAGTCCTAGTCGAGTTGTAATTACAATTACCATATCAGGCTTGACATCGAC